AGACTCTAATATTGTTTTCATTTATTGTTTTGTGCTGCTGTTGCATCACTGTCCCAGGTTAGGGAAAGTTTTTGGCACCTTCAAACTAGTGTAACCCCTCAACATTCTGCAAGTGCCTGTCCCAAGTCAGGAGCCTGTAATTCAGTGGTTGTCGTTTGTTGCTGAATATCAAATTTGTTTTTCGTTCTTTATTTTGTACATAAATCTGGCCAATAGTTTTCTCATTTTAAATGTTTTACATTTGTCATTTTGGGGCCTTTTGTAGATTACTATGTAGTATGGGTTTTGCTCATTGTTGAAGGCCATACAGTGACCTATATTGTTAGTACCAAATGGTGAAGTTAAAATCATCCCTTCGTAAATTTTACGGACGCCATCACGAGTTGGTTGACTGTTATGGAATAACCGTTTCACAGATGATATCTGATATGTTCCTTATGTCGTAACTACAATGCCCTTCCCTTTTCACGAATGTGACCTACCGAATTAGACTATTTACCGGATTTGTAATAACATTAGCAAAACGACGGGTGCCACATGTGGAGCAGGATCTGCTTACCCTTCCGGAGCACCTGAGAACACCACCAGTATTTGGTGGGGTTCGTGTTGCTTAGTCTTTAGTTTTCTATGTTGTGTCATCTGTACTATTATTTGTCTGTTTGTCTTTTTATTTTTGGCCATGGCGTTGTCAGTCTGTTTTCGATCTATGAGTTTGACTGTCCCTCTGGTATCTTTCGTCCCTTTTCTATAGTTGTTAATTTCTATGTCATTTGGTCTCTTCTGGAGAGTTGTCTTATTGGCAATCATACCACATTTTTATATCCAAGTTCCTATTTCTAATTTTTATACGACCGCAAAAAAATTTTTGTGGTCGTATATTGGTATGACGTTGGCGTCGTCGTCGTCCGAAGACACATTGGTTTTCGCACTCTAACTTTAGTTTAAGTGAATGGATCTTTATGAAATTTTACCACAAGGTTCAATACCACAAAAGGAAGGTTGTGATTGATTTTGGGGGTTATGGTAATAACAGTAAAGGAATTAGGGGCCAAAAAGGGGCCAAAAATAAGCATTTTTGTAACTTCCAGACATAACTTGTGTGTTAGTGTATGGATCTCTCTGACATTGTACCACAAGGTTCCATATCACTAAAGGAATGCTGGGATTGATTTTGGGGGTAATTGCCTCAAAATTTTAGGAATTAGGGGCAAAAAAAGGGGCAAAAAACAAGCATTTTTCTAGTTTCATGACAATAACTTGTGTGTAAGTGTATGGATCTTTCTGAAATTGTACTACAAGGTTCCATATCACAAAGGGAAAGCTGGGTTTGAGTTTGGGGGTAATTGCCCTAAACGTTTAGGAATTTGGGGCCAAAAAGGGGCCAAAAAACACATTTTTTTCTAGTTTCCAGACAATAACTTGTGTTCAAGTGTATGGATCTCTCTGAAATTGTACTGCAAGGTACCATACCACAAAGGGAAGGCTGGGATTGAGTTTGGGGTGATGAATCATAATGGGGGTTCAAAAAATTTTGGGGGGGGATTTATTTTTTTTTCCTTTTTTTTCTTTTTTTCCTTTTTTGTTTCTTTTAAAATTTTCCATTTTAAGTTGGTTATTTCTGATTTATATTTAAAATCAAATAATAATGATATGGTAGGAGATACACACCAAACAGGATGTGTAAATTATTATATAATAAGTATTGTGCAATAGCAAGAAATTTTCAATTGCACAGTATTGCACAATAGCAAGAAATCTTCAATTGCACAGTATTGCGCAATAGCAAGAAATCTTCAATTGCACAGTATTGCGCAATAGCAAGAAATATCCAATAGCACAATATTGCGCAATAGCAAGAAATTGTCAATTGCACAATATTGCGCAATAGCAAGAAATTGTCATTTGTACAGTATTGCACAATAGCAAGAAATATTCAATTGCACAGTATTGTGCAAAAGAAGATACTTCCTATAAATTGCTTATTTCTTGACCAATTTCAATGGGGTTTTATTCTTGATTTCATGGGGTTCTTTAATATGCTGAATATAACCGTGTATTTAGTTTTTGGATTTTGGGCCCCGTTTTTAAATTGGTCCACATTGAGGTCCAAAGGGTCCAAAATTAAACTTAGTTTGATTTTAACAAAAATTGAATTCTTAGGGTTCTTTGATATGCTGAATCTAAACATGTATTTAGATTTTTGATTATGGGCCCAGTTTTCAAGTTGGTCCAAATCGGGGTCCAAAATTAAACTTTGTTTGATTTCAACATCATTGAATATATGGGGTTCTTTGATATGCTGAATCTAACCATGTATTTAGATTTTTGATTTTTGGGCCCCGTTATCAACTTTGTCCACATTGAGGTCAAAAGGGTCCAAAATTAAACTTTGTTTGATTTCATCAAAAATTGAATTCTTGGGGTTCTTTGATATGCTGAATCTAACTATGTATTTAGATTTTGGATATTGGACCATAATAGGTGAATGTCCAATTTAAAATTTTTAAGTTCTTAGACCACATTCATTCTGTGTCAGAAATTTATGCTGTGTCAAATATTTAATCACAATCCAAATGCAAAGCTGTATCAAGCTTGAATGTTGTGTCCATACTTGCCCCAACTGTTCAGGGTTTGACCTCTGCGGTCATATCAAGCTGCGCCCTGCGGAGCATTTTATTCCATTTGATTAGGGACTTTCTGTTTTGAATTTTCCTCGGAGTTCAGTATTTTTTTTATTTTACTTTTTAGTGCAAAACTGCAAAAACTACCCTAATAGCCTCTTCGTTATAAAAATTTTCTCTTCAATATCTAGACATGATTGGCATTACCAAAATAGATATAATCTCCATGGAATTGAGACGTACATATAGATTCTACCACTGCATCGAGTGTGATACGATATTTATCCACTCGAGACAGTTAAATTTTCAAATTTAAAACGCGAGGCTCGCCGAGCGTTTTAAATATTTAAAATTTAACTGTCGAGAGTGGATAAATATCGTATTACACGAGATTTGGTGGTGGAATCTGTTTCTCTAATGATTTTCAAACAATACGCAGGCAAATGTATTCCTTCTTTTCGAATGATCTGCAAAAGATGTGTTCTTTCTATGTGACGTCATCAGGCATGGTCGCCTTTTTTCATGCCGTCACAATAGGAAATTCAGAGGAAAGCAAGAAAATTCGACGTCATAATCGGATTTTAACCAATGAAGAACTGAGATCAAACGAACCACACGTTGATTAAATTTTTTTTATACAATGGGTGCAGAAAGGGATAAATTGACGAAGAATTAGAGAAAAATGTTTATAAAACTGCATCCCAAATATCATTAACTCACCATTAGTGGTTCATCTGAAACTGACCTAATCACAAACTTACATTTAAACATGCAAAAATTTCAAAGTCAATACACATGTACCATGAAGAAGGAGCGGGCCCAAATAATCTCCATTGAAATGAGATGTGCCAATACTGCCAGAACTGCATACTATATATCATTGACCAGCTACCACTATTCATTCCCTTTAAACTGGCTCATCACAAACTTATATGTGATAGACAAAGACACTGCCACCAAAAACAGCAGGTCTTGGTCTCGTCTCTGCAACTTTGTTGAGGGAAGACAAAATTTTCCATTATTTTGAAAGCCTTGAAAATTAACTATTTTTGAAATTTTAGGAGCCAAATAGTGGCTTTTATCACATCTGGTGGGTTTTTATGACAACTTAAACCCCAAATTTGCATGGAAATTAATTTTTTACGCCAAGAATCAATTTGGAGTTGCATATAATACCAATGGATCAGTTTTCATTGAAATCCTAGCACAAACAGATGTTTTCTCAAAATTTGTGATTTTTAAACAGAAACTTAATTAATCCAAAAGTTGATTTGCAAATATTAAACAAATGTAAAACTAAATACTATGCACAATGACTGTGACAAATAAATTTTATTGGCATCCTAGCCATTCCTTTTCACTAATAATACATGTAATATGCACATCTGTATGTTATGCACAACAACTGTGCCAAATTTCATCGGCCTTCTAAGTAACCCTTATATATGGAGTTTTGGTGTTTATAAAAGTTGTTCCCAACCAGACAGACAGAAATAGTAAAAACTATGGGTCTCCCACTTCTTGATTTTTTTTTTCAGATTGACACCAGAATACAAATCATAGGGGCAACTACTGCAGACATTCATTCAACTTCAACAGAAATACTGAGTACAATGAACATCAACAATGCTGGGTTAAAGTCTGAAATAATGGCTAAACTGGAGGTATGTACATTGTACAATTAAGAACAGCAATCATCACAGATATTAAAGATCATTGCAAATAATAGTGTGCAGGTTAGTGATTGTATTTCAGCCAATGAGAACTTTACTAGGTTAAAAACTGTTTATACATTACTCTTTCTTTAGGCACCTAAAGCCATGTTTCACACCTCGACATTCTGTGTGTGCCTGTCCTAAGTCAGGAGCCTGCAATTTAGTAGCTGTCGTTTGTTGCTTTATATAAAAGAAATCATTAATTGTTTTGTTCTTAAATCAGACTGTTAGTTTTCTCATTTGAATTGTTTTGTCTTTTCATAGACTTTTATAGCTTGCTATTCGGAATGGGTCTTGTTTTGCTCATTATTGAAGGATGTATTGGGACATATAGTTGCTAACTTCTACTTCACTTGCACTCTGGTGGAAATTTGTCTAATCTGCTATCATATAACATCTTATTGATAATTATTGCATTGTTTGTACTTCAGTAATTCTACAAAAAAAAAAAAGATTTTAAGGTGTAATACCACCATTGATTTTCCCCTATTAGTCTTTGTTAAATTTGCACTTTTCAAAAAATTGTGCAGAATTTATCTTTGTTTCAAATAAAGAAATACTTGGCATGAGTAAAGATTTATCCTGTCCAGTACTATAGAAAAATTTCACATAACATTTCATTGCATATAAGAAAATAACCATCACTGGAAGTTAACCAATCAAATTTTCCCCCTTTTTATACGACCGCAAAAATTGAAAATTTTTTGGTCGTATATTGGTATGACGTTGGCGTCGTCATCGTCGTCGTCGTTGTCGTCTGGCGTCGTCCGGCGTCATCCGAAGACACATTGGTTTTCGCACTCTAACTTTAGTTTAAGTGAATGGGTCTCCATAAAATTTTACCATAAGGTTCAATACCACGAAAGGAAGGTGGGGATTGATTTTGGGGGTTATGGTACCAACAGTTAAGGAATTAGGGGCCAAAAAGGGGCCAAAAATAAGCATTTTTGTAACTTCCAGACAATAACTTGTGTGTAAGTGTATGGATCTCTCTGACATTGTACCACAAGGTTCCATATCACAAAGGGAAGGCTGTAATTGATTTTGGGGGTAATTGCCTCAAAATTTTAGGAATTAGGGGCCAAAAAAGGGGCAAAAAACAAGCATTTGTCTAGTTTCATGACAATAACTTGTGTGTAAGTGTTTGGATATTTCTGAAATTGTACTACAAGGTTCCACATCACAAAGGGAAAGCTGGAATTGAGTTTGGGGGTAATTGCCTGAAACGTTTAGGAATTGGGGGCCAAAAAGGGGCCAAAAATAAGCATTTTTCTAGTTTCCAGACAATAACTTGTGTTCAAGTGTATGGATCTCTCTGAAATTGTACTGCAAGGTACCATACCACAAAGGGAAGGCAGGGATTGAGTTTGGGGGTGATGAATCATAAGGGGGTTCAAAAAATTGGGGGGGGGGGGGATTTTTTTTTTTCTTTTTTTTTCTTTTTTTCCTTTTTTTTTTCTTTTAAAATTTTCCATTTTAAGTTGGTTATTTCTGATTAATATTTAAAAGCAAATAATAATGATATGGTAGGAGATACACACCAAACAGGATGTGTAAATTATTATATAATAAGTATTGTGCAATAGCAAGAAATTTTCAATTGCACAGTATTGCACAATTGCAAGAAATCGTCAATTGCACAGTATTGCGCAATAGCAAGAAATCTTCAATTGCACAGTATTGCGCAATAGCAAGAAATATCCAATAGCACAATATTGCGCAATAGCAAGAAATTGTCAATTGTACAGTATTGCACAATAGCAAGAAATATTCAATTGCACAGTATTGTGCAAAAGAAGATACTTCGTATAAATTGCTTATTTCTTGATCAATTTCAATGGGGTTTTATTCTTGAATTCTTGGGGTTCTTTAATATGCTGAATCTAACCGTGTATTAAGTTTTTGGATTTTGGGCCCCGTTTTTAAATTGGTCCACATTGAAGTCCAAAGGGTCCAAAATTTAACTTTGTTTGATTTCATCAAAAATTGAATTATTGGGGTTCTTTGATATGCCGAATCTAACCGTGTATTTAGATTCTTAATTTTTGGTTCCGTTTTCAAATTGGTCTACATTAAGGTCAAAAGGGTCCAAAATTAAACTTAGTTTGATTTTAACAAAAATTGAATTTTTAGGGTACTTTGATATGCTGAATCTAAACATGTATTTAGATTTTTGATTATGGGCCCAGTTTTCAAGTTGGTCCAAATCAGGGTCCAAAATTAAACTTTGTTTGATTTCAACAAAAATTGAATATATGGGGTTCTTTGATATGCTGAATCTAACCATGTATTTAGATTTTTGATTTTTTGGCCCCGTTATCAACTTTGTCCACATTGAGGTCAAAAGGGTCCAAAATTAAACTTTGTTTGATTTCATCAAAAATTGAATTCTTGGGGTTCTTTGATATGCTGAATCTAACCATGTATTTAGATTTTTTATTTGTGGACTCGCTATCAAATTGGTTCATATTGAGGTCAAAAGGGTCCAAAATTAAACTTTGTTTGATTTCATCAAAAATTGAATTATTGGGGTTCTTTGATATGCCAAATCTAACCGTGTATTTAGATTTTTAATTTTGGGTCCCGTTTTTAAATTGGTCTACATTAAGGTCCAAAGGGTCCAAAATTAAACTTAGTTTGATTTTAACAAAAATTGAATTCTTGGGGTTCTTTGATATGCTGAATCTAAACATGTGTTTAGATTTTTGATTATGGGCCCAGTTTTCAAGTTGGTCCAAGTTGGGGTCCAAAATTAAACTTTGTTTGATTTCAACAAAAATTGAATATATGGGGTTCTTTGATATGCTGAATCTAAACATGTATTTAGATTTTAGATTTTTGGCCCAGTTTTCAAGTTGGTCCAAATTGGGGTCCAAAATTAAACTTTGTTTGATTTCAACAAAAATTGAATATATGGGGTTCTTTGATATGCTGAATCTTGCCATGTATTAAGATTTTTTATTTGTGGGCCCGCTTTCAAATTGGTTCATATTGAGGTCAAAAGGGTCCAAAATTAAACTTTGTTTGATTTCATCAAAAATTGAATTATTGGGGTTCTTTGATATGCCAAATCTAACCGTGGATTTAGATTTTTAATTTTGGGTCCCGTTTTTTAAATTGGTCTACATTAAGGTCCAAAGGGTCCAAAATTAAACTTAGTATGATTTTAACAAAAATTGAATTTTTGGGGTTCTTTGATATGCTGAATCTAAACATGTGTTTAGATTTTTGATTATGGGACCAGTTTTCAAGTTTGTCCAAGTTGGGGTCCAAAATTAAACTTTGTTTGATTTCAACAAAAATTGAATATATGGGGTTCTTTGATATGCTGAATCTAAACATGTATTTAGATTTTAGATTTTTGGCCCAGTTTTCAAGTTGGTCCAAATTGGGGTCCAAAATTAAACTTTGTTTGATTTCAACAAAAATTGAATATATGGGGTTCTTTGATATGCTGAATCTTACCATGTATTTAGATTTTTTATTTTGTGGGCCTGCTATCAAATTGGTTCATATTGAGGTCAAAAGGGTCCAAAATTAAACTTTGTTTGATTTCATCAAAAATTGAATTATTGGGGTTCTTTGATATGCCAAATCCAACCGTGTTTTTAGATTTTTAATTTTGGGTCCCGTTTTTTAAATTGGTCTACATTAAGGTCCAAAGGGTCCAAAATTAAACTTAGTTTGATTTTAACAAAAATTGAATTCTTGGGGTACTTTGATATGCTGAATCTAAACATGTGTTTAGATTTTTGATTATGGGACCAGTTTTCAAGTTTGTCCAAGTTGGGGTCCAAAATTAAACTTTGTTTGATTTCAACAAAAATTGAATATATGGGGTTCTTTGATATGCTGAATCTAACCATGTATTTTGATTTTGGACATTGGACCATAATAGGTAAATTAAAAAAATTGAAGTTCTTAGACCACATTCTTTCTGTGTCAGAAACCTATGCTGTGTCAAATATTTAATCACAATCCAAATTCAGAGCTGTATCAAGCTTGAATGTTGTGTCCATACTTGCCCCAACTGTTCAGGGTTCGACCTCTGCGGTCGTATCAAGCTGCGCCCAGCGAAGCATTTTATTTAACCTGTGTACAAGCTTTAGTAACCATGTAACCTCAAGTTTCCAAAATATTCTATAGAAACCCCAAATAAAGAAATAATGGTGCTTTGAAATACCCAAGATATATGTTTATGACTCAGAAATGTTTTACTGCAATGAAATGTAGGATCAACTACCTACAACTGTCAAGTTCAAGGGAATATTTTTTTTTCGACCTATTTTCGTATGCAACCGGATGTGACGTACTATGATTTGGTGGTATTACACATAAAGAAGACTTTTTTGTTAAATAAACTGAATGTGACTTTTTTCCTTTGTAATACTGGTTATTTCAAGCATTCCTGTCAAGTTTTGTCATAATCAGTTCAATAGTTTGAGAAAAATCTAGTATAATGTAAGACGACATCTACAGCGATTCGAGCAAAATTTCTTCGAAAAATCCAAACCAAGCCGCATCATGATAGAATATAGTGTGGACCAATAAATGATCAAATATTTATCTCATCTGCCTACAAACAGTTGAATATGATACAAAAGATGACTTTATGATGATAAATACTACTAATGGACCTCTTTGTCTTCCTTATAAGGTCTTTTTTGTCCATTCATACCTCTCATTTCCTCAAAATTTCTACTTTTTAGGCCAATAAATAAAACTTTTGGGGTAACTTTCACTCATTTATGATAGAAATGTTATTATAAATGATTATTTGAAGTATTCAAGCTGAATGAACTATCCGTATAAAAGTTTACTGTCTCCAAGGAGGTTTCAATAAGTCCTTACGTAAAACTTAAATTTACGCCGCGTTCCAGAGAGGGACATAAAAAACTTCTCTTTTGGTGAATAATTTGTTGTTACTACTTTAAAAATAATTTCATTTACTTAAAACTATATATTTATTAAAGTATTTCTTAGGAAAAATTTTCTAGTATAGCAGAATATAAGAAATAAATAGAGAAAAAGCTCCCCAAAACTCTAAGTATGGCTTGTTCTGTCAACTAATACTCATGGTAAAGTCCTATTTCAAGGAAATTTTCTCATAAAATGTATTTTGGAGACTCAATCCACTCAGAATATTTCATTATTTGTAATATTTCACTTAAATAGCAAGAAATTTTAACACATGAGAGTACTCACAAGGTCAAAGGTGCATGTACAGCTTCCCATATTAGGTGTAATACCACCATTGATTTTCCCCTATTAGTCTTTGTTAAATTTGCACTTTTCAAAAAATTGTGCAGAATTTATCTTTGTTTCAAATAAAGAAATACTTGGCATGAGTAAAGATTTATCCTGTCCAGTACTATAGAAACAATTTTTAACCTGTGTACAAGCTTTAGTAACCATGTAACCTCAAGTTTCCAAAATATTCTATAGAAACCCCAAATAAAGAAATAATGGTGCTTTGAAATACCCAAGATATATGTTTATGACTCAGAAATGTTTTACTGCAATGAAATGTAGGATCAACTACCTACAACTGTCAAGTTCAAGGGAATATTTTTTTTCGACCTATTTTCGTATGCAACCGGATGTGACGTACTATGATTTGGTGGTATTACACCTAAAGAAGACTTTTTTGTTAAATAAACTGAATGTGACTTTTTTCCTTTGTAATACTGGTTATTTCAAGCATTCCTGTCAAGTTTTGTCATAATCAGTTCAATAGTTTGAGAAAAATCTAGAATAATGTAAGACGACATCTACAGCGATTCGAGCAAAATTTCTTCGAAAAATCCAAACCAAGCCGCATCATGATAGAATATAGTGTGGACCAATAAATGATCAAATATTTATCTCATCTGCCTACAAACAGTTGAATATGATACAAAAGATGACTTTATGATGATAAATACTACTAATGGACCTCTTTGTCTTCCTTATAAGGTCTTTTTTGTCCATTCATACCTCTCATTTCCTCAAAATTTCTACTTTTTAGGCCAATAAATAAAACTTTTGGGGTAACTTTCACTCATTTATGATAGAAATGTTATTATAAATGATTATTTGAAGTATTCAAGCTGAATGAACTATCCGTATAAAAGTTTACTGTCTCCAAGGAGGTTTCAATAAGTCCTTACGTAAAACTTAAATTTACGCCGCGTTCCAGAGAGGGACATAAAAAACTTCTCTTTTGGTGAATAATTTGTTGTTACTACTTTAAAAATAATTTCATTTACTTAAAACTATATATTTATTAAAGTATTTCTTAGGAAAAATTTTCTAGTATAGCAGAATATAAGAAATAAATAGAGAAAAAGCTCCCCAAAACTCTAAGTATGGCTTGTTCTGTCAACTAATACTCATGGTAAAGTCCTATTTCAAGGAAATTTTCTCATAAAATGTATTTTGGAGACTCAATCCACTCAGAATATTTCATTATTTGTAATATTTCACTTAAATAGCAAGAAATTTTAACACATGAGAGTACTCACAAGGTCAAAGGTGCATGTACAGCTTCCCATATTAGGTGTAATACCACCATTGATTTTCCCCTATTAGTCTTTGTTAAATTTGCACTTTTCAAAAAATTGTGCAGAATTTATCTTTGTTTCAAATAAAGAAATACTTGGCATGAGTAAAGATTTATCCTGTCCAGTACTATAGAAACAATTTTTAACCTGTGTACAAGCTTTAGTAACCATGTAACCTCAAGTTTCCAAAATATTCTATAGAAACCCCAAATAAAGAAATAATGGTGCTTTGAAATACCCAAGATATATGTTTATGACTCAGAAATGTTTTACTGCAATGAAATGTAGGATCAACTACCTACAACTGTCAAGTTCAAGGGAATATTTTTTTTCGACCTATTTTCGTATGCAACCGGATGTGACGTACTATGATTTGGTGGTATTACACCTAAAGAAGACTTTTTTGTTAAATAAACTGAATGTGACTTTTTTCCTTTGTAATACTGGTTATTTCAAGCATTCCTGTCAAGTTTTGTCATAATCAGTTCAATAGTTTGAGAAAAATCTAGAATAATGTAAGACGACATCTACAGCGATTCGAGCAAAATTTCTTCGAAAAATCCAAACCAAGCCGCATCATGATAGAATATAGTGTGGACCAATAAATGATCAAATATTTATCTCATCTGCCTACAAACAGTTGAATATGATACAAAAGATGACTTTATGATGATAAATACTACTAATGGACCTCTTTGTCTTCCTTATAAGGTCTCTTTTGGTCCATTCATACCTCTCATTTCCTCAAAATTTCTACTTTTTAGGCCAATAAATAAAACTTTTGGGGTAACTTTCACTCATTTATGATAGAAATGTTATTATAAATGATTATTTGAAGTATTCAAGCTGAATGAACTATCCGTATAAAAGTTTACTGTCTCCAAGGAGGTTTCAATAAGTCCTTACGTAAAACTTAAATTTACGCCGCGTTCCAGAGAGGGACATAAAAAACTTCTCTTTTGGTGAATAATTTGTTGTTACTGCTTTAAAAATAATTTCATTTACTTAAAACTATATATTTATTAAAGTATTTCTTAGGAAAAATTTTCTAGTATAGCAGAATATAAGAAATAAGGAGAAAAAGCTCCCCAAAACTCTAAGTATGGCTTGTTCTGTCAACTAATACTCATGGTAAAGTCCTATTTCAAGGAAATTTTCTCATAAAATGTATTTTGGAGACTCAATCCACTCAGAATATTTCATTATTTGTAATATTTCACTTAAATAGCAAGAAATTTTAACACATGAGAGTACTCACAAGGTCAAAGGTGCATGTACAGCTTCCCATATTAGGTGTAATACCACCATTGATTTTCCCCTATTAGTCTTTGTTAAATTTGCACTTTTCAAAAAATTGTGCAGAATTTATCTTTGTTTCAAATAAAGAAATACTTGGCATGAGTAAAGATTTATCCTGTCCAGTACTATAGAAAAAATTTCACATAACATTTCATTGCATATAAGAAAATAACCATCACTGGAAGTTAACCAATCAAATTTTCCCCCTTTTTTAACCTGTGTACAAGCTTTAGTAACCATGTAACCTCAAGTTTCCAAAATATTCTATAGAAACCCCAAATAAAGAAATAATGGTGCTTTGAAATACCCAAGATATATGTTTATGACTCAGAAATGTTTTACTGCAATGAAATGTAGGATCAACTACCTACAACTGTCAAGTTCAAGGGAATATTTTTTTTCGACCTATTTTCGTATGCAACCGGATGTGACGTACTATGATTTGGTGGTATTACACCTAAAGAAGACTTTTTTGTTAAATAAACTGAATGTGACTTTTTTCCTTTGTAATACTGGTTATTTCAAGCATTCCTGTCAAGTTTTGTCATAATCAGTTCAATAGTTTGAGAAAAATCTAGAATAATGTAAGACGACATCTACAGCGATTCGAGCAAAATTTCTTCGAAAAATCCAAACCAAGCCGCATCATGATA